TCCGATATTCAGTTTTAAGGCCGATACCGATAGGGGGCCGATTATATCGTGCATCCCTAGTTCAGATTCTTAATGAAATAGAGGAATTATTGTAGTTTTTTTTCCACTTACAGTATTAGGGTATTTGGGAACTTCCTTTTTTGAAATAAAAAATACCAATCCTATTGATAAAGATGGAGGTTTAAAATCTAATCTAATAAAATGTTTGCATTTTACAAACTAAAACAACTAAAACATACTTTTTCTATCACACATTAATGCATCCATCCATCTTCTATTATTTAAAAAAAATTAAATATAGTTTATTTTAAGTTTATAAACAAAGTATAGAATTGGGTCTCACTTAACAGAATTATATAATAAATAATGAATTTGATTTATAATAACAGATCGTATGCAATATAAAATATTATTGTAGGCTAAAACATGGCCAAAAAAATGACAAAATATGCAATATAACGAAATATCCCAATGCAACATAGCACCATTAAATATAGAAAATTTCAAATCTCTTTTTGTTTAAAAATGTAAATGTTCTTCATAAAATCAAATTAAATTGTTCTAACAGCAGTAACCATCTCATCCCTCAGTTGGTGATCGACTGTTTCAGGAACACATGCATCAGAACCTACTTGGAGGCGGGACAGGAAGGTAGCGGCTGGGCGTGGTCTGGCTCTCCGTCGTCGTGGTGCTGGGCTGCGGTCGTGGCCTGAGGGGCGGGAACACAGGGGCGTTGGGCCGGGAGAGGGGCGGCGGGGCCGAGGAGGGAGGCTTCAGCCTGAGAGAAGGGGGGATAGTGAGGGTCCCAGGGGGAGGAGGCCTCAAGGTGAGACTCTGCAGCTGCAGGGGGAGAGAAGATTCATTAAACTCCTCCCACCTCCTGCCACAGACCCCCCCAGCTTAGCAACGGCTACAACACACATGCGGTTAGGAGTAAAACCCAAAGCATACACACTTTAACTTCCAGCGGGGCTCACCTGAGCGGAGGCGGGGTTAGAGGAAGGGACGGAGGAGGAAGAGGAGGAGGAAGAAGGAGACTGTGCAGGTCGCATAGCAGACGTAAGAATGAGCTGCAAGGAGATCCGAGGAGAGAAGAAAATAAGGAGGAGGAGGAAATAAATGGAGGCAGGCAGGAATGCAAAGCTGAGCGTTAGTGTTTGTCTGTTTATTAATAACATCATTTCCTGTCCGTCTAAACTGTTTGTGTCATTCAATTCAATTCATTTTATTTATATAGCGCCAATTCACAACACGGCATCTCAAGGCACTTTACAGTTCACCAGTTAATACAGGTGAACTGTAATCTAGTTGGTCACCAAAATTTCCTATCTAAGGAAAACCAGTTGAATGCATCGAATCATTGACTTGAAGGCAATATTTCACACTAAGCATGCTTGTAGCAACAGTGGAGAGAAAAAACTCCCCTTTAACAGGATCCCCGTTAATCCTGTAATGTTCCTCAAGTCATGGTAAATGGCCTGTACTTATATAGTGCTTTTTCAAGTCAGGAGACTTGACCAAAGTGCTTTACACTACGTCATTCACTCACACACTGATGGTGGCAAGCTACATTGTAGCCACTGCTGCCCTGGGGCTCACTGACAGAAGCGGGGCTGCCGTACACTGGCGCCACCAGGCCCTCTGACCACCATCAGTGGACAATGCAGGTAAAGTGTCTTGCCGAAGGACACAATGACACTGACAGTCGGAGCCGGGGCTTGAACCGTCAATGCTTCAATTGACGTCCATCCTTCAATTTCAGGGCAAACTCCTACATCGGACGCCACTGTAGCCCCACAGTTCACCAGTTAATACAGGTGAACTGTCATAAATGTCATAAAAGTCATAAATGTAGAGCTTAGAATTCATGATACAAATAGAAATAAACAATTGTTCCTTAAAAATAAACAGCTGTGCTGCATTTTTTATTTCCAAACAACAGCGTTTAATCATTTTTTACAGACCTCCTTATCTGAACAGGGAGCAGTGTTTTTCTTTACATAACAAGGGATTCAGAGTGGAGCTGAGATAACGGCAGACCGGCGTAGGTACCATGCTCGTGGCCCTGCCCCTTTTTATGACATCAACATATTGCAACTCCACTCGGACGAACTGTATTGCACCCGTTTCTTAAGGATTGAATCTCTTTTGGAGTTTCAACATATTATTACCTATATTTGCTTTTACATTTTTTTTTACAGTGATCTAAATTAGCTGAAAGTAGAAAACAATCATTGTCAGTCTTGAAGGAAAGTACTGCTTTCAAGACAGACCGAGCTCTGCTATTTAACGAGGAGACACAAAAAGTCTAAGTTTATTTCTATTCTTTTTATTAAGATCTGAGGGAAGGAAGGGCAAATGGAACAGCCTAAAAAATTACTTTCATAGAGATTTTAAACAAAGAAAACAACAGTTATTCTACTTGTAAAAAAAGGAATGGTTGGTGTTGATATGAATTCAAAAGTAGTGTAGCTTAATGTGGCTAACTGACCGAGCTAAAAGAGGCTAACCTGTTAGCTACTGCGCACAGATAGCTTCAGCGCTACCTAACTCTCCCCCTTTATATCATGTCAACAGTTAGTTTGTTCACCATAAACAGATTTTTTTTTCAGTTTTGTTATCGATCAGTTAAAACTTCATCGGTCATTAGACACGCTAACGGACGCTGCGTGATGTAATTGCCGTTGTCTTGGCAACCACTATGTTTTACATCATGTGGCGATGTTCAGCCAATCATGTAGCGTAACGTCACTGGCAGGAAGCATGACCCGAGCAGATCAGGGACCTGAACCGGACGGCCATGTTAGAACCACTCCAGTTTAAAAACAAAACAGACTAAATCCTCTTCAACAAATGTCACATTTCTGTTTGTTTATTCACACAGAAATCAGTAGTTCTCGATCCATCCAATTCAGATAGCTTAGATTAAAGAATATATCGACTACCTATAAGCATCACAAGCTAACAATCACATTTTTATCTATATAAAAACTGTAAAAACAATTTAAAACTACAGCAAAAATTATAGTTGATCTCTAACCCATCAGAGTAAGAGACATTTTTCCAATTTCCAAATCACACTGAGGATAGGTTGTTGTAAAGTCTTTAGGGCTAGGGTTTAGGGCTAAGATGTGGACTGGGTTAGGGTGAGGGATGCACTGGTAATGGTTACGTTTAGGATTATTTTTGGGCTTAAGGCATAAAAAGGGCTGAAAAAAAGACTTAAAATCAATGGAAGTCAATGGAAGTAAGCACATGATCCTCACTACAAAAAGCAATACAAGACGTGTGTTTGTTTAAAAACTGAAAAGTAGAGCAAATCTTTCACTGGCATCAACTGACTTTATTTATCAATGTTCAAATCTGCTCGTATCTTGTTGAAATAAACAAATGCAAATTAAAATACATATCTTTGTTGTTAAAATTATGATTTATCTGGATCACCTCAATATTTCTAAACTAGCTTGTCACAGAAAATATAAGATGAATTTAACCAATAATCAATTAAAAAGGTATTTTTTAATATGTTTGATGTTAGATTGTTTTGCTTTTTAAATAGAAGAGATCAAAGCTTTTCAAGATAATTTTAACCCATTTTTTTTTTATCATTTTCTTGATGACAATGAAAACAGGATTAAGTCCATCTTATCTCAACATGTTTAATCTCTGCTCCTCCTGTTCCTCATCTTTACCGTGTTTAACTGGGGGTCTGTGTGTGTTTGTTTACCATCTTTGCTCTCAGCAGAACCTGGTCTTGGCCAGACCCTTTGAGACCTTTCCCCAGGAGCAAAGCCTGCTGGGATACCCTCTGCCTGACAGGTGAGGGGCCCTGATTGGCTCGCACAAGACCAGGTGTACCCGCAGGATTTGCCTGTTGTGCCTGGAACAAAGGAAGAAGGGAGACTGATGAGATGGGGTTAAAGGGAAAGATTCAGAAAAACAGGAGTTTTAATGTAAATCAATAAGAAATTAAATATACTGTTGGTATTAATGTTCATAAAAATGACTAAATCATGGAAGCTGAAACCCAGAGGAATCAAACTCTCGGAGATGTACCCACTATGAATATGTTTGATTATGTAATTTCGTTTTATTCTTATTATTAGCGAGGGATGGAAGAAAAAAACATGCAGTTCTTAAAAGCTGTTAAGGACCCACTCATGCTGATGAAATGTAGTTTAAATCTAATCTTTAAGATGTTTTTCTTTTACATTAACTTCACTTACGTTTTATCACAAAGCACTAAAAGACACATAAAAAATAACCCCAATATATTAAGCAATAACAAAAACAGTAATTCTAGGGGGGGAAATACATTTTCTATTGAGTTTATTTCTACTTTTCTCATTTGATTGGTGAACACACTTTATCTGTTGAGGCGTAAAAACATTTGAACCAACCAAGCTCAGGTTTAATGGGTCACATCTTTTAATCAGATGTTTCCTGATTTTGGAAGCAGATTTGGTCCTTCTAAGATCTGCTCTCAGATGCAGCAGACCCAGTAGGTAAACCTAGATGCTCCTCTCCCTCTGTGACACGGTGCAGCTCTTCCTGGAGGATCCCACAGTGTCACCAGACCAGAGAAGATTCTTCTCCGATTCCTCCTTCCAAAGGGAGGCGCCAGAGAGGCATCTGTTTCTGATTCCATCGCCAGATCAGATGCTTTACTATGAAGTCCAGCCACCTCAGGAAGCTCATTTTAACCGGTTGAATCCGTACGGTCATTATTCACTCCTCATGACCATAAGTGAAGGTCAGAAATTGGGCAGAGCCGTAGGCTCAGGCACCAGGACCAAACCATCACCCAGGTTAATCCAGACTGACATAATCTGGGTCTCACTGACAGAAGGCTCAGTGTGCAGCTTTAAGCTGGGCCCCATTAGCAGTAAGCAAGAACATTTTCTTAGGCAGGTACCAAATATAAACTCTAGGTTTAACGGAAGCTAATAGGCCCAAAAGTCAGTTCAGCCTCCGTCTACATTAACCACACTTTACCATCAAGAAAATAATTGAGCAAAACATCCATCTTTTACAAATAAATCAATGAAAACACAAACTTGATTTCCATGCTATTAAATCTATAGACCTATTTATACATCTGTGATATCTAAATGATCATTTATGGTCTGCATTATAAACATATTCAATAAGAAGAGTATTTGTTATTTATCTTTAATTATAGATGACTAGATTTTGGGGGTTCAGCCTGTGACCCCGAAAATAGCTCTGCAACAGGTTGGTGACCCCCTAAATACATAGAATCACTTCGTGCTATTTTCATGTAAGCATATAAAAATAATTTGGGGGAGTGGTGGCCTAATGGTTGAAGCATTGTGCCTGAGTGCTGGAGGTTCTGAGTTTGAGCCCCACTCCCACAGACTGCCACTCTGGGTTCCTGAACCAGACCGTTAATCCCTCACTGCTCCCCGGGCGCCGCACAATAGCAGCCCACTGCTCCCCAAGGGGATGGATTAAATGCAGGGGTAAATTTCTCCAGTCTGAGATTTATAAAGTTAAATTATAAAGAAATGTACTTATAATGTTAAATTATTATCATTATAAGAAAATATATTAATTTTTTAATGCATTTTTTTATTTAACAACATTCATTTTTCTAACTTTTCTTTTTAATTGTATAATTACAATTACCTTTTTATGCATATAACAATGTAATGGTACATTTTATGAAATATGTATTAGCCAAGTAAATATATCAATGTTTCATCTCCCAATACATGGTACCTTTATCTTTTATTATTATATTTTTCAGAGGAATGTTTATTGTTGTTGTTAAAACTGTCTGACATCCCACTGGGAGATAAAAAGCCTCCTAAACTCAGGTGATGAACCAGCGCTGCATCAGCTCAGCAAATATCCATTTTAATTTGATCCGTCTGTTGTTTTGTTTCAAACAGCCTGCAAAAATGAGCCAATTTATTCCAATCTAAACCTGAACTCAGTCTAAGAGATGGGAATTAGGACTTTGGGTCAAAGCAGGTGATTCCCAAACTTTATTTTTCTGGAACAGATTCTGGTTTTACCATTTTCCTAGATTATAAAATCTAATCTTTTGTTGTTTTAGTAGTTTGGTTCTGCACCCTCTGCATACATGCTCAATGTTGGTTTCTTGCTCACATTTCAGCTACATTTTGTTTCACAGCTTTAGAAAGATGTGAAACTTTGAGATGAAAGCAGACCGAGGGGAAGCTGCAACCTCAAACAGAGCAGCTCTGACCCAGAGAGCAGAGCCGGTGGACGGCTGAAAGCATTTAATCACTGCTGCTATGTCACTCACACCACGACTGTGTCTGCAAACCCCCTGTTTTCAGATCCGCTGTTTGGACCTTAAAAAAAGAAAGACTGTTGGTCTCACATTCCTGACTAAAGCAAAAATTTACTTTCTGCAGTACGTTCAAACTGTAAATCTGCATAAACTTCTTAAGCTTTTCATTTTTAATGACTCAATTCAGAGAATGTATTTAAATTTGTGGAGTCAGCTCTGAATAAATCATTAAGCTAAAAACACTAAGCACTTGTTTGTAACACCTTTTCTTCTTTGGTATTAATGTGACCTAAAATATAATTTAGCACACCATAAAACTCTGAACTCTGAATACATCTTTATTGGATATTTATGGGTTGTGGTTGGAAAAGGTATTTAATCAAGTAATCACCGCAATATTTTAAATTATTTAGCCTGTATTAAGAGGAACAAAGGGGGTACATTTGTTATTTTATCACTATATTAATTATATATTTATATATAAATATTAAATTAAACATTTTTTTTTTATCCTTTATTTAACCAGGTAATACCCATTGAGATTAAAAATCTCTTTTGCAAGGGAAACCTGGCCAAAATAGGCATCAAAATTACATCACATCATTACATACGTACAAGATACACACATAAAAGCCAAATATGCACTTACATGCACATTGACATGTGAGGGAGTCTAACTCAAAACATCTAAATCTCAGCTTAAAATTTACCTTCAATTAAATATTTTGCTTACAAACTACCAATAAACTAAATATTTATCTTGCTTTATATATAAAGATTTAACAAACTAAATATTTAGCACTATTTCATTCAGTGCATTGAGATGAAGCTTAAGCGTAAATTCAATCTGGTAGACTCTTATCAGCTTCACCTGAACCACCTGTGATGTCTCTTGTTAAAGCCTCTGTCACACCTTGATGATTTAGCCAGCGTATGCCTGACGTACAAAAAATCTGGCAAAAAACGCTTGAATATGTTGGATAGGT